ATATATATATGTAACGAAATAAAATTATAAATTTTGTTAACAGAGTGATAACGCGTGATATGTTTGGGATCAGTATCATTTGTCGGATGCTATCTGATGAGCATTTTTGACAGGTCAGGTGCACGTCTAAATATTTCTAGTACGTTCGACTATCATTTCTACGAGAAAATATTTTGTGGTATGAACTGTCTGCTTTTGCCATTGTCACAGCTCTTTTTTTCAGGCAAACGACCGGTGGAGACCGTGGAGATTGGGGAAAACGTATGACTTTTGGCCATACGAAACACGTGACGCCGTATGGTGGGGGAAAGATCATCTTTCGCGGCTTTCGGGGAGGCAGAGAAGCGTAGTGCGTATTAGTTTATTCTTTGTTTAGGTTGTTAGAGCCGTTGAGTCTTAGACAGTAAGTACGAAATTTTGGAAGTGTATAGTCATCCGAATATACAGGAAAGAAATGTTGTAAATATTTCTGTGGGGTATATATCTCACATTAGTATTTTGTTTCGGGAATGTAGAACTAAGGTTTATGTTACTATATACTGTGACTAGAAAAATGTAACACACTGTTTTATGCTATGTATGAAATGTAGAACTAAGTTTTCTGTTATTGTATACTGTGACATGCAAAAAGGTAAAGTTTTGGGTTATGTCTAAGTCTTTCTCATATTTTATAGAGTGGAAACCTGAAGATGAAGTTTCTTCTAATTCTGTTCTCCATTGTGGCAGCTTGCCATGCAATTTCCTTCTTTAACCTGGTGTTCGAGGAATGGGAAACATTCAAGGTAAGCGGATTTTATCTCACTTTCCCCCTGGGCTTATTAACCCCAAAGGGTGAACACAGTATATTTTTAAGGGACGTTTAGAACAAGGAAGTTGCAAAGGTTCCAGGTGTCCCATTATTCACATGACGGTGAGTCATTGCGATCATTTGTAGCGAAGCGTAATTACAAAGGAATGGAAATTAATTTATGCGAAGACAAAGAGTGATTCATATAAATAATTATGGTGAAGTTTCACAGTGTTCTGGTAACAAAATTAATTTGTGATACATATGATCCTTTATGTATGTCTACCAGAATGTAATTGGAATTTTAATATGACACTGTATATATTGGTTTACATACAGACTGTATCTCCAGGATGGTCAGTTGGCATTGTTACTGTCTGGAAAAACTAGAATATATCAATGTTTCTCAATGTGAAAATCAGAATTTCAAAAATAAAAATGCTGACTAATTTCTCTTATCATGGATCATTTTAGATTGTGAATGCAGTGTTGTATTCCATTTCTTGTTATTTGATGATTTATATTACTAGACTGCTTTGTTTTCATTTTAGCTCGAACATGGAAAGAAGTACAAATCTGAAACAGAAGACAAGTTCCGCATGAAAATCTACATGGAAAACAAACATAAAATTGCAAAACACAATGCAGCATTTGAACTAGGACATAAGAAATTCAAGCTTGCAATGAACAAATATGGAGACATGGTAAGTGTGAATTCAGAATTATGCATATTTTGTTAATTTACTCATAGTTCATGTTTAATAATTAAAGAAATTACTTTTTTGTCTTATTTAACTGAGGCCAAATGGGTTTTCATGATACTGATGGAGTGGCATTTGTCTGAGAGGTAGAAATTAGGACACACACCTATGTTTTAGAAAAGGTAAACATTTAATATGTTAACAAGTTTTGATGAATGTTTGATATATTCTGTAATATATAAATCATGGAATGTGGTGGTGGGCATGTTTGACAGTGATGTCAGAGTGCTAGCTTGAACCCTGATAGCTGTTATGAATATCTGTGAAAACCCAGTCTAAAATTCTTATATCATAATGGACAAATTACACTGCCAAAGTAAATTAAATTCTGAATGTGAACTCTAAATGGAATGCACTATTTGAAATTTAAACAGATTGCTTTCCAAAAATAATTATTGTGAATTTTAAGAACTGGTGTAGCTTGTTACCAATAATTGCCATTCAGAAGGGAGAGCTTCCTGAGTGGAAATTCTTGTGACACCAATAGCTAACATCCTGAACCCTTATTCATTGTGTACATTGTCAAGGATGGGTTCAAAGTTTGAAGTACACTTTGGAGTCACACTTAATATATTTATACTGTTGCATATTTTTAATTTGTTTTTCTGGTAAATGGCAATGATTTTGAAATTTATGATATGACCTTTGTTCTTGACTTCTGGAATGTCCTGTCATAGAGCCTGGTAGAAAGGTACAGATATTTTGGAGGAACCTGTTGTCTCAGTTTTCAGAGTAGGAGAATAAGCTGTGGGAAAATTAGGTAGTGTCAGGAAAGGATGAAAGGAAATGGGTCTGTGAGGAGCCAATGGCAGACAAAATAGGGGGGGAGGCAGATATTTGAGAGGAAAATAGGTGAGAAAGAATGTTTTGAGGAAGAAAGACCGAATGTGCACCTGATCACCCAGCTATCAGCTTGATAGTTGTTGTGGACTATGCCCAATTTTTTTTTTTTTTTT